GGGCGTAGATAGTTATAAAACCCGAATCCACACCCACACACCCACACCAACAACAATTAAAGTATGAACTAAATATGTAATAAAAGAATTTCTACTGACTCATTAAATGAGTATAAGATATGATATGTATATTCTAATAATATTCACTTCAGCTCTCACAACTATCCTACATTAGTATTATTATGTGAGAGTTTGAGAAAGTTCATCCTACTTTCGCCATTGGTGAAATTCCAGCTAACCCATGTAGTGCAGTAGTATACTTGCTTTTATTGATGCTTAAAAAAAGTATATGGCATAAAATATTTTGATTGTATTTTTGTTTAGTAATATTCGATACAATCGATTTATTTCTACTTCTTTGTACTGATTCAAAATCACTTCGTCCTTTTCTAAAACAATTAAGTAATGATACATGGTTTCATTTATTTTATCAATTAACCCAACAATGTAATGATGGTCTTGGTTCATCAGCAAATTCAAGCAATATACATCTTCCACTTACACCAACATTTGATTTAAAAACAATGGAAAAACTAGGAATTTTATTCGAAAAACTTTCAGAATTATCAGAAAATCGTCGACTATTTTCTAAATATAATTTTTTGTTTATATTTAAAGAATGGAAACAAAAATTTGTTGATGATAGTCCTTTTCTTGTACTTAATATGAAATCAACATTATTAAATTTAGAACAATAATTATCATTGAAAATTTCATAAGATTGCTGTTTTGTTTACATTGTAGACTGTAATATGGCTGTATTGGCTCAAAATTGGCAAAGTTTATTGAATATAAGACCGACTGATATTCATGTGGGGAATGAAGTAGAGGATGAGAAAAATGAACAACTTGGTGAATTATATATGAAAGTAAGAATTTTTTACTACAAAAAATATTTGACTTTAAAAACATTTGATAAAACAATTTTTTAGCTTAATGCAGATGAACTTGATAATATTGATGATTTACGACATGCATTACGACTTGGTCAACGATTTACTGATGTAAGAAACACAAAAAAAACAATTTATATGATTTTTTCCGATATACTTAGTTTTTTCGAGAGCAAAAAGTGGAGTATTGGGAAACTTTAGTCAAACTTGGACAAGAGAGTAAATGAACTTTGTTTAAAACATTTTTAAAAAACTATTCATTGATTTATTTCTGTGCAGATGAAAAATTAAAAAAGACATCGTTTGCAAACGCTGTAGAGGTAAATGATTGATTTTTTGTTCTTCTTTGTTTTTTGTAATTCTAGAAAATTATTTTAGGCGGATACATTTTTAAAAGATCAAATAAGTGATCTTCAACGTCTCTTGGTTCTTACTGAAAACCAAGCAGACGAATATAAAAAACAATATGAACATGAATTCGACGAACTAGGACAAATTCGTGATAAACTTAAAAAAAGTGAAGTGAAAGTTCGAGAATTACAAAATCAGGTTTGAAAGAAAATTTATCATTATGATTATTATTATTATTAAATGGTTTCTTTTTAGAGAGATGATTTCAGGAAAAGATCGGAAGATTTACAAAAACGTGTAGTAGAATTGCTTGGTTCAAGTCGAGTAAAACCTGATGATGTTGAACGAACACAACGTATACGAGCTGTGGAAAAAGAACTTAGTAATCTTTTGGATGAAAATAATGTAGGTCGATTCTTTTTTTTCATTTCTTTTAAAAAAAATTAAATGTTTATTTTAGAATTTTTTTGAAGAAAATCAACATTTAAGAAAAGACCTAACTGATCTTCGACGAGAAAAAGAAGAAGTTGGTGCTCATATTAAGAAATTATCAACTGGTTATAAACATAATATAGTATGTAGAAAATATAATACTCACATGTAAGATCTTACGTTATAACTATAAGCTGTTGAACTGATTTCAAAAAACTTTTCATTGATTTTTAATATGTCAAAAAATCTTGTTACTTTCTTTTAGCAAGAATAATCGAAAAGATGTTCAATTAGATGCGATTTCTTGAATGTAAACTATATTTCAATATGCAAATTCAAACTTGTTGAAATTTATATTATTCCTTAATACGATTTATTTTTCTGTAATGAAGAACTAGTCCTTATGAATAGAGTTTAATATATGAAATATGAAAATAATAATGAATGTAAGACATCAACAATGACAACTTAGTACAAATTAATCAATATAAAACATTTTATTTTTAATTAAATCAATGGACTACTACGCTAGTTTTTTTGCTATTCCTTTCAAGAAATATTTAAAGGCAGATTCTAGTATTATTTTTTGAAATGAAAGACTACTAAGGCTACTTCAAAAGTGTCCGAAAGTTTGTAGTTAATATATCAGTTTAAGCAGCTCAACGAAGTCACATGAGTATAGATCTGCAGAATATACTTGATCAGCATATCCTTCCATATGAATTTGGGCGGAAAATTCTTTGAGAGCTCAGAATGTCCGTAGTATCTCATTTTTCTAATAAAAACTAAAGTCTGCTGGATTCGAAGTTTTCGGACCCGGTCGAACAGTACTTTCATACTTTTAATGAAATTTTAGAATCGAATTTGGATAGTCATTCAAAAGATAAGAAATACTTTTCTCCGACATTCTATAATTGTTGACTAGCGCATCCGACACATTTCTAAGACCGATCTTTTATTTCTCTTTTTAATGTAGTTTAAAAACTTACGTGAGGCAGCTGTTAACAGACTAGCTCTTGTCTACTACATTTTAATGGCATGGGCTTCTTCAGGCTATGTTTTATAGAAAAAAAATGATGAGATAAATCTATCTGAACTATTGTTTCGATGAACTTTGGCTGCTCTTGAGTTGTTTTATTACATTTTAATCTTCGACAGTCCTTCTTATTTTATTCTAAGAATATAACTATGATCAATCACTAGTGATAGTGTTGAATACAAAATTGAAATTGGTCTATCCAAATCTCTTCAATAACTTTACATGAATATGAATAATTGTAATAGTTACTAGCAAAATTTGCTTAGGATGTCTATTATTAATTCGTATGTCCAATAAGAAATCATCTTCAATTATTGTTCGAGACAACATCAATTGTTTCTAAGTAAATAGTAGCTGAAGGATAACCTGAACGGTCAATTTGAATTTCCTCGCTTGAAATTCATAAAACTTATTAGGAATTATTTGATGGGAAGCTTTTCGATTCCACCATACTTCTACCAGAAGAGTATGATTTTTCGTGTATATTGAACCAATGTTTTGTTCACTTTAATTCATCGTTCGACACTGTTCTTGTGAGTTATTTAAAAAAACAAAATGTGACTGATTTGAAAGAACTGTAAGAATAAGGCGTTGTACAGGACCTAGAGGTCTAACATGCTTCAAGCAATCCTAAATATGTTTATGCATTATAGCAGAATACTTGACCTCAATATACAACTTTTAGTAGGGTCGGACAAAAAACATTTTGTAATGCTCTATATGCATAGCTTTTTTTTCTCTTCCTTGTTTCCGAGTATCGTTTTATTTCCACAAAATTAGGATATAGGTATGTATTCAAACAGAGAAAAACATCAGTTTCGTGGGACTGCATTTAATTCTGTTCGATATTACAATTACTTTAATATCAATTTAAGTAGTAATAAAAAGAGATGTTGACGTGACTTTCTAGTACCGATTATAGAAATGAATATTTCTCAGGAAAAAAGATATATTTTCTCTATAAAATATTGGTGTTCAAAAAATCATATGTTTGTTAGTATCCAAGTTTGAACATGATTACAACGCAATCGACATTAGTCCCGGGTGAAAATTTTGTGTTCACCTTTTCTAGGTACAAAAGCAGTAACAATTTTACATTCATGACAAATTTTTTTTTCTAGAAAATGTAGTAAAAGAATATTGTTTTACTATCTGTTTTCATAAAATATATCTCATTCCTCGATTAGAACGAAAAAAAGCTTTATGTTCATTCTAATCATGAAGAAGATCGTCAATGTTTTATAATTCTAAGATTTAGTTAAAAAGAATTCATTTCATTAATGTCAAGAATACAATTATGTTCGTATACTCTCAGTCAAATAATTGTTTTTTTTCGAAATCAAAAAAAGATATGATTCGGAATAAGGAATGTTCTTTTTCAGGATCTTCTCAATGAGAAAGAACAAGAAAATCAAGAGTTAAGACAACACATTAATTTATTAGAAAGTCAAAATACCATGGTTTCTGGTGATGACGATGATGTCATTATGAAAGCTGTCGAAGACCGTGTTAAACAATGGAAAGTATGTTTTCTTTATTTTTCTTTTTATTTACTTAGGGAGAAATGATCTAGTTTAAGGATGTTTTTAAAGCAAAAGATGATGAAATCGATGATCTAAAACGAAAAATAATTAGTCTACATGATAAATTACAAATTTATTCAATGGAAGATCAAAAAGCTGATGTTACTGCTTTGAATAAAGTAAACAAAAAGAAATCAACTTAAATATTTTCTAAATATTTTGTCATCATTATGAAATGAAATCTTAGGCAGTTGCTGAAAAAGATCAACAAATATTAATGTTGAAAAAAAAAAGTCGAAGAAGCAACCAATGATTTAATCAAACAAACTGATGCTCTTGATCGAATGCGAAGTGATTATACAGGTACATAGACTATTAAATTTAATATATGAATGACTTGTAATTTTATTGTGCTATGTTGAGAAATAAAAACGAGCGAAAATAATTTTCGATTTTAAAGCTGAGGAGCTAGTGCGCTTGATTGTCCTATATGAGAGGAGAAACGGAGGTAAATTTGCCTACTACCACTATAAGTATAACTGTAATACACGAGAATCATGGAAAACCTATCAAAAATAGCTGAATACGACTTTTTTTTTCTTATATATCGAAATACGAGTTTTCATAAACAGATTAGAATGTACCAAGAATTTTATTTGTGTGACTCAAACATGATTGGGAGTCAATATTTGATAAAGCTCAACTACATGAACCTAATAATGTATTGGTATGCTATATATTCATGGTGTGACATTATTTGCACAAAATGACTTCCATAAAAGATGCTTCATTAATTTATACGTACTGTGTACGTACATTACTAGACACAGCATTATGCATAAATGAGGAAATATACGTAGTCTGTAGAGGTACTTCTATTTTGAGGTTATTTTTTTGGTCATAGGTAAGACTAGTGGTGTAGATAAAAAAGCCTAGAAGAGCTTGTACCATCAGATCTTTCTTCTAAAGTTATGGCCACTTTACTGAACGTTCAGTCTGTTACAAAGTATCACAAGAAAAACCGTAAAGAGAATTTTTGACCTAAAATTCTTCTCAACAATAGATCTCATAGTTTTTATAACATTCTGAAAGTTTTAGCCCAAAAGAATGATTTTTTCTTAAAATACCATATGCCTAAAAATTAGGCTATTTTGGGAGCTCTTAAGTGAAACGAACGTTTGTTTGCAAACGTGTTATCTCAGAAGGAAATCATTCATCTGAGCTACAATTTTCAGGATATTATAAAGACTATGTCAGCCACTATTAGGCAGACTTTCAAGCTAAAACTCCTTGTTATGTTTTTGCCCGTGATATACTGTAACAGACTAACACTTTAGTAGAATGATCATAACTCGAGAAGAGAGGTCTACTGGCACGAAAACTTTTAGGGGTTATATTTACACTATGAAACGTATCTGTGAAAAAAAAAGCTCAAACGGAAATTATCAGTTCAATGGATTTCCATCCTCAGTTGTGAAATGTTATATATGTCGTAATTCCACGTAACATGTTGACACTAACGTTTCTTTTTCCCATGAACTACAAGATTTCTGACGCTGACAATTTCAGTGATAGTTGACCTAATGAATAGATAAAATGATGAAATTTTCATCGCAAACTACCAGACTTTAATAGAGTTATACATTAGACAAAATGAAAAAATCTCGCATGACATTTAGTGTGACAATTACATTTTCAAGTCTTGTTTCACAGTTTTTTTATAAGCAAGAAGCAATACAATTGTCTTATTTTCTTAAGTTTTATATCCTATTTACTGCTTTCATTCAAAATCGTTCTGATCATTTTTAAATGGATTCTTCAGTCCCAGAATTATTTTCAATGTCGTATGACAGAAAGTTAAGGAATGAATGTACATCTGATATTCAAAAAAAGTATAGTAAAAGTCACGGTGAAAAATCTATCGATCTCATATTCGAAAAGTGTAGACTGTTGATTATAAATTTGTCAAAAGAACAAATAGATTATGTGAGGTTCTCGTTTTGGGAATGTAACTAATGGCTTCAATCTCCGTTGTTGACGTAGGCTGAAATATGAAATATAGGATCTAAGCCTGCTTATCTTGAGAAAACTCACACTTAAATGCTTACCGTATATTGTTGTTCAGGTGATGGAATACGAGTTGTAATAAATTCCGTTATGTAGGTGTTTCAAATATTTTATTAATAGATAATGATGATGATGAAAAATCACAGAAAACACGAATAGATGTATAACCACGACCAGAGGAAAAACAAGACTGAAGGTAGTTATCACACTAACTACGATCAAGGCAAAAAAGAGAAAAAAGAGAACCAAAATAGAAAGAGATAGAAAAATCAAAGAATATAATAAAATGAAAAAGAGAGAATGAAAAAGAGATGATCATCATAAGAACATGATGACCAATAGATTGGTAGATATATATGTATATATATTGCAAGAACAAAAAAAACAGCATACATATATATGAAGTTAGCGTCACGTCGTAACATCAATGGACGCTAACACCTTCCCCTCTCCATGAACACGAAAGTGACCCTGGCATCTGCCCACCCTATCGAGTAGGCTGACGGTACAGTCAAGTACATGAACGAGAGAGAAAGCGCGTACGAACCTCAGATGTCAAGACAAGACAAAACAACGAGATAAAAAGAAAAAATACATGTAACAAGACGAATGAGAAAAATAACAAAAACAAACAAACAAATAACATGTAATAAATGAAGAATAAGTC